TTGATAATTTAATAGAAAATATTTATTTATTAAGATAATTCCAGATTAAAATTCTGTTCTCATCATATTTCTCTTCAGGAGAATGATGCTTTTTAACTTTAGTGTCATTAGCTGTGTTATGGTTTCTTAGCCATATTCAAACTGAATCACTGTAGTCCTAAAGATCCAATAGAAGACCTATCAAATTTATGACTAGAAGATTTGCCACATTTTCAACTTTAAGATGATAATTTTTTTGTCAAAATAACTAATATTCATCACAGAAAACACTCTTACAGCCTCTGCAGAACTTACATCAACAGTAATAATTATATTTTTAGCTCTTTAAATATTTTTGGGTACAACATGATTATGGCAATTTCTTGTTACAGAAATCATTAACAGAGATCTCATAGGGAAATACTTTACAAAAGTCTGGTAACTTCTCTTCAGCATCTTTCCAGGAAACTACAGTTTCTTCCATATTCTAAGAATCCAACAACCGTTTTGCTAAGCTTTTATAATTTAAAGTATAGCTTTGTGTGAACCAATAGAATGCCAACATTCCATAAACCCCACCACTAGACACACACTTATATATTTTAATATAGATTTAGAATATTGGGGCAGCAGATCATTATTCAAATATTCAAATTATATTAACAGACAACGAAGGTCTATTATGTTTGATCATGAGCTGTTCTAAGCTTTGTATAGTGGCTTTAATTTAAATTGTCTGTGTGATGTGAGTAGATCATATCTTTTTTTTTTTTTTTTTTTTTTTTTTTTTTGTAAAACATCATACCATTCTGGTCTGGCAGGCTCTTTATATAAATGATTTCTGACTATCACCATTAAAATGGAAATTTCAGACTATTTGATATTTCCAGATTAAAATTACAGTTTAGACGAGAATGTTAGAACTATAGGGTTTAAGTAGATTTTAGAAGGAACCAGAAATCCAATTCTAAACAGAAAACAAGAGATAAACCTTTACTCCTGTTCAAAAGATAGGGAAGGGCTGTTAATTATACAATAGGTGAACTGATTTCAACCTATTGAATAAATAAATGAAGAAATATAAAATAAATTAAAAACTAAATAGTAAATAAAATTTTAGAGTTTGGATTAAGACGCTAGAAGTATAGAACTGAAGTAGACTTAAGAAGGAACATGAAACCTAATCCTAACCAGGAAATGAAGGATAAACCTGTACTCCTGTTCAAAAGACTGGAGAGGAGTAGTCTAGAATTGATGCAGATAATGATTAAAGGCAATTCATAGATGATGCTGATGATCATAAATATAGATTAGCCTCTCATAAAAGTCGTCCTGACATTTAAAAATGGCAGCACTCATGAAGAAACATCATACATTTGAGGAACTGATATTTTTTTTGCAAATCCTTGGTCTTCTTATTCTGGCAGTGAATCAGATAGAAATTCAAAATGTAGATGGCAATAAAGGCAGTGAAAACAATGGTTGTCCTTGAGAGGCTGATGAGAAATTTATTTGTTGTATATGGGGCTGAATCAGTGAAAACTATGAAAATCCTGTAGTGACTGACAGTGTATCCTACAATACTTCTCTTTTTCTTGGGTTTTCTCCATCATTTGAACTCTCCATTGTATTTGACAAAGACACGAAAAGGAGATTCATCTAGGTTCAGTGGTTTGTATTATGTAATAGCCTGTGTAGAATACTGCTTCCTTGAGTGTTGAATTCACCAATGTTGAAGTGGCTAAATAGATAAATGTGGCTGTGTGTTGAGAAAGGTGATAAACATTCATACATAATATTTAAATTATCAAGGAAAAAGCAATGAGAACCAATTTTGTTTTAACGAATAAATATATGTATATTAAAATTCAACAATAATACAAAGTAGTTGCAATATGAATAAAAAGGGGAAAAAAGTAGCTTCCCTTTAACTGTAAGGAAGTTTTTTAAGGAAGGTTTGTCTGAGTAAAATGTTCAATGTTGAAAATAGAATATTTCTTTTAGAAAATTGTTCAGTTGTTGTAACTTACAGAGTTGATTTAACTTGGTTTGTCCACTGAGAACTGGTGGTGTATCAAATAAAGTTCTGTATCTGTGTGTATGTACATGCAGAGTGAATAGGATGTAAAACACGAATGAGTAGTTTAGATCTATTGTCTCTGGGTGTACTCAACTGTGGTTCTGGAACTACTATTAACTGGTTTTTTGGAATGCATCCAATATTTATATTACCTAGGGTGGCTTCCAGCACAGACGCTGGATATATTTTTGAATATACATGAAAAATACCTGATTGGACGAAAAATGGACCAATCAGTGATTTTATAGCAAAGCTTGTTTGCGAGCAAAGTGTAAGAAAAAAATTCACTATGGTGGAATGCAATAGATAAATTGTCCTATTATTTTTAGTATGTATTTATTGACCAATTAGAATCAGAGAAAATGTAGGTGTGGCACTACACCTGTCTCTGGGTAGATGCTTGCTGGTGACTGGCCAGCCTCAATGCTTCTATTGTTGCTACTTCAGTATGAAAATCACTCTGTATGAGAAACTAAAGTGCAAAGAAGCGATGTCGAAGCAGCCAATTACTCTGATATAAAAGCTGCCTCAAGAATGACCAACATGGTCTTCTTACTCTGGCAGTAAATAAATAGTGATTAAAAACAGTTTGTAGATGCTGATGAAAGCAGTAAAAGCAATGATTGTCTTGGAGAATGGCTGATGAGATATTTTGATAGTATGACATGACCCAGTGACATTGAGAGTATAAAGGAACTGCAAGAGAATTTTTTTTTTTTTTTAAGTTCTACAATAAGGGCAAAACAATTTTTAAAAAAATGCCCCTATCTCAAAGTGGTTAATGAATAAAACATGGGAAACAGAATTTAGATGAGAAAAAAAAAAACCTTTCCTCTACATTTTTGGTGTGCATGTAGGATGTATAATAGTATCCAAAAGAAAAGTTGAGATGATGAGACAAAGTGGAAAATCTATAAATGAGGCATTTCGTCACCAACATCTGTTGGTCTTGGCATCTTCAGGTCAGAATGAAAGACAAAAATGTATCCAAGAAAATATGCCTTGGGATTTTTTAAGAAATCCTTTTAATCCTCAAAAAGACAAATAGACATCAACAAAATGCTTCTTACAAGCACATAGAAAAATGTAGAGGAAAAAGCTTTTTCTCATTTAAATTCAGTTTTCAGTGTCTCATTTTCATATTTTGCTGGGCATGATATACAAAGTCTGTTCAGAAAGTATCAGCCATTTTGGATATCTTGAGAATGGGTTGTGTGGCCTTGATGCAAGTTGGCAGCTAACCAGAGAAGACACTACTGCGCATGTATGAACAGACATTGTGGGGTTACTCAGTTGGCAATGTGATGTTACTGAGTGAGCTTATCTGTGTGATGTGAGTAGATCAGTATATCTTTTTTTTTTTTTTTTGCAAAACATCATACCATCCTGGTCTGGCAGACTCCTTATATACCAGATTTTTCTTCTTGTGATTTCTGACTATCACCATTAAAATGGAAATTTCAGACTATTTGAAATTAAGAATAATGTCATGAGGTAGATGATGGCAGTCCTTACAGAAGACTTTGTAGATTGTTTTAAAAAGGGATGTAATTCTGATGTAGTCATGAGAGGTTTCAAGAGGATCACTTTGAAGTGGACTAAGACAACATTGTCCTAGGTAGGCCATTTTTTCTGTTAGTATTAAATAGTTTTGTTTTTTTTAATGTTTTTGTTGATCAAATAAAATGTTGCAATTTGCTTTTTTTTTTTTTTTTAGCTCAATTTATTCTAAGGTAGTCATGAGACATTTCATGGGGATCACTTTAAAGTGGACTAAGATACCATTGCCCTAGGTAGGCCGTTTTTGTTTTTTTTTTTTTTTTTTTTGTTAGCTACATGTAATGGTTTTAGAAGTAATCTCAGAAAATGTCTAAAAAATGTCTAAAAGAAATAAACGTTCTGTAAAATCATGAATTCTTGAATTTATCCCACTGGCATCCAACCAATCTATCAATCTATTTTTATTTGCTAGTTCCTATCAACATCTCAATTTATGGACACTCCATTTCATTTTCTGGCAACTTGATCGTTCCATTCCTAAAGTTGTTTTGCAAGCAGAAAAAAAAAAGTAGTGACTATGTTAAGTAATCAGTCAGTTTTTAAGAATACAGTCTATCCGGAAAGTATCTAGCCACTTTAAAGATATCACAGACCAGTTGTACAGCCTTGATATAATTTGGCAACTAATCAAATGGTACCTTTACTATACATGGCTGAACAGACCCTATCTTGTGATGTTAATCAGTTGGCAGTGAAACATCAGTCACTGAGTTGTCTACTGTGTGGTCATTACATTCTTGTTCAGTGTTTTTTTTTTTTTTTTGGCAAGGTATCTTATCACCAGAGGTTTCTCTTCATCCATTACTACTCAGATTTATTTTCTGGTAATTTCTGTCTTTTCTCAAATCTAAAATCCCCATTGAAAAGGAGACGAAATTACAGGAAAAAAAAAAATCAGCTGAAAAGAGGACTTTGCAGACAGTTTTGAAAAATGGAACAGATACTGCCAAGATAATTGTATAAGGGTAGAAGCATAACACCTTTGAAGAGGACTAAGGTGCCATTGCCCTAGGTAGATTACTTTTGTTTAACATGTTGACTGCCAGATGTCAATTATGAAATCTGATTTCAAACAATGACTTTATTATATCCAACTTAGGCAATAAAAATGTTTGATAACTTATAACTTCAAATGAAGTTTTCACACTAAAAATATCACTATTTAGTCGCCAGTACAATCTTTCGTTCCTGCATCAGATGTCAGGTACCAGGTATTTGCATTAAAAGCAATGAAAAAATAAGCAACACCACAAAAACATGATAACTTGTGGCCTGCAGCATAATAAAAACTACCAGCCACAAGTTATCTTGTGTCTGACAGTCAATGTGTTAAGGAGAAAAACAAATCTGCTGAAAAGGCATTTGTATAAGGGTAAGCCACATCACATTGAAACATTGGTTCCCGTACGATCACCCAAGTTAAGCAATGTTGATCCTGGTCAGTACTTAGGTGGGTGACTGCTTGGGAATATCATGTGGGAGGTGTAATGATGTATGAATCCATCTCTTTTCCCCCAGCTATGGGTTAATAAATATCTCAAAAAAAATTAAAATTCTTACAATCTAAAAATATTTCCTGGCTTTAAATAGCCTGCAAAGGGTTGATAAACTGTAGAAAATGAATCATTCAATGTATGAGGGTAGACACAAAATACTTTTGAAGAGGACTAAGGTACCATTGCCCTAGGTAGGTTAATTTTGTTTAATATTAAATGGTTAGATCATTTCTGAACAGGCATTGTGGCTTATATAAATCACTGGAAAAGAACTCATCATAAATGAAAATGTAAAAAAATGATTATGGCTGGATAATTTCAGATCAAAAGCAGTTTATGTATTTTTTGCATAGGATCAGTATAGAATCTGTGTGCATGAAAGAAGTTTTAGACTCTACTACAAATTGGAAAAAAGGGCAAGTTTAGTAGTACATGATTTAAGCAATTTCAAACTTCAGATTTAAAAATAAAAAAAGTACAGATAACTCTTTAAGAAGTCAGGGATTGATTTGACACTTGATATTTATTATGAACAGGATCTTCCCTCTAAAATGATAAAAATCAATATTTTTCAGTTTGGAAGGAGAAAGTCTAATGAATACCAATCCTCAAAAACTGTTCCAAAGAAATATTGTTCCATATTTTTTTCTGAACAGAACCACTTAACCTCAATAAGACTAAATTTTTGACCAACACAATAAGGTAATCGTCATGGCAGTATTATAAGATAAAGAAACATTCAGCATTCATTGATCAAGCAGCCAGTGCTGTTTTCAGTTTAAATTTATAAAAACTTTCTCTTCAAAACAATTTTTCAGAAAAGTGGGTTTTTCAAGTCCAGTTGTTGACCTTTTCAGTATTGTTGAGGGCTTCCATCCTAATTTTTTTTTGAATTAATGTGGAATGTCAACATATTATTTTTTTTTCTTTGAGTTAAATGTGTTATCCATTTTAGTTGTTACTCCTGCTGGTAGTACTCAAGTGATGTGGTTTCTGTTATTTGCTGCAGATCTTTGTTTGTGATTGTGTAGCACCAGTTCAAAATGTTCAAAGAAGGATGGTCTATGCCAAGACATATATGGTTCCCTCACTCAAAGCCATTTCTGGTATTGATGGAGGTTTCTTTCTTAACCTTTTATTTGAAGTAGGGCGAAATGTCAGCATCTTGAATATGTCATTATTTTCTCTTTTTCAATATTATCAAAGCCCTTTTTATGAAGATATTAATTAAAATAACTCATTGAATAAGTACCTTATCTGATTTTTGTACCAACTTTATGATAGAATGTAATTTCTCAAATATGAGATTGATCACAATGAAAAAGGAAGTTACTTTCCAAAGCGTGAAAATAAAACTAAAAAAATATTTGGAAATCCACAATGTTCCAAAAATATCTTTCTTTTAAAATAGTTTTTTAATAAATAGCAGTAAAAAGATTGTGTTGCATCAATTTGATTATTGAAGGCTTCAGTCACTTTCAAACCACCATAAGGTGATCTCCCTGTGTCTTTTCTATAAATACTTTCATTATGTAATTATTTTCCTTTTGAGTTACATGTGCTATCCATTTTAGTTGTTGCTGCTGTTGGTAGTACTCAAGTGATGTGGTTTCTGTTATTTGGTACAGATCTTTGTTTGTAGCCCCAGTCCACAATGTTCAAAGAAGGATGGTCTTTGCCAAGACACACAGACTTCAATCACTCAAATCTCTTTCCCATATTGATGGGGTTTCTTTCCTATTTTTGGCTTACATTTATAAATTTTTCAGGAAAATAAGTTTCTAAAGTTCAGTAACTGTTGTAGCTCTTTCTAGTATTGATGGGAACTTTCTTTCTAGCCTTTTGTTTAAATTACTATGGAATGTCAACATCTTGATTATGTCACTGTTTTCTCTTCAAATTACATGTGCTGTTCATTTTAGTTGTTGCTATTGAAAGTCCTCAAGTGATGTGGTCTTTGCTATTTGGTACAGTTCTTTGTGTTTTTGTAATGCCAGTCCAAAAGGTTTGAAGAAGAATGGTCTTCACCAAGATCCACAGGCTTAACTTGTCCAAAGCCATTTTAACCATTGATCTTAGAAAGTGGTTGTATACAGCTGATATTGTAGATATTTCTGAATGAATTTGGCACCATGTGTGACATTCATATGAAAGCCTCAATCTAACAAGGCTATTTAAGAAGATGACTTGGAGTTTCCATGTTAATGATCTGGTTTTGTAGCAATTTGAGGTGTTGTGTGAAAATATCTTATTCAATAAACCCACATTGAACTGTCACACCCACAATGGTGGTTTTGCTATTGTATTGCTCCCTGTTGGTATCTATCAACAGTTTAACAAACATAGCAGTCCAGAGGATACACATCTGGATTGTCACATGTTGTGGGGGACACAATAATAAAAATTCCTGGCCAGCCACTCTCAAGCCAAATAAACCCATACAGGATGGGACAGAATCCAACAAAAACATTTACAGCCACCACTTTGATTCAGAGCTTGAACACTGTGATGAGTGCAGTGTGATAGCAGCAATCAGATTAGGTTTATGGCTCCAAGTTCTAGATTCAGAACTGTCCCTTGGGACAATAGGCTATGGGATTATAAATTTGGTTACATAGTAACTGTGAGTTACCTTACACTCAGTGGAAACAGGGCAAGCAATAACTGAGCAGTACTACATCACTAGATGAGATTTCCCTAAAATGGACAGTAGAATGAGAACACTCTATCCCACTATATTAAATAAAGGGTTAATTTCAAAATTCCCTTACCTAGAACAACAAGCAACTAAAGAAGGCCAGAGGGTACAACAGCTGAAATATTGTGATAACAACAACAAAGATGAGGACAATAGTTCAATTATTTACGTTATTCGGACTACTGTCCTCATCTTTGTCACCATATTTATCACAACGTTTTGGCCGTTGTACACTCCAGCCTTCTTCAGGTGGTTGGAATGTCAAACTGAACCCTTTATTTCACTCACTGGGGTAGACTGTTCTAGTTCCATGTGCCATGTTTTTAATGGATGTCAGTTATCAGTTATCTCCCGTTAATTTCCCTCTGAAAGTACTCCACTGCCTTAACTGGGTATTGAACTCACACTCTTTGGGTCCTGTCACTAGATCTAACCAATGCCTTTATCCACTGTGCCATATGTCCTTGAGTTCACATGGCCGGAAGAAGGCTGGAGCATACAACAGCCAAGACGTTGTGATAAATATGGCGACAAAGATGAGGACAATAGTCCGAATAATGTAAATAATGTACATAATACCTCATCTCAGAAATATAGACAGATACAATAGTTCAAATGTAAATAATGTAGATCTTGAACACTGTTTTTTGGCACTTCAGTGTAGGTGGCGGCATTGATCTTGGGACCCCAAGGAAATATATAGTGGGCCCCTCATTGCTTACAATCCCTCAGAATGATCACTTGATGGGTACCTGGTCTCTGAGTTGCTGCAGCTGGTGGGTAGTGCCATGAGAAAGGTGTGGCCTTTTTCTTTCATGTATCTCATTGGAAGTTGTCGCATTTGGTACATCTGAAAAAGAAATGAGAATGTCAAAATTTGGCACGTATTATACTCAAGTATGTAATTTATTCCCTGCTTTTAGCTTCAAAAACTCAGAGTTTTATTATACTAAAGTCATATTATACACAAGAAAATATGGCATGTTAGATTGTTTTCCATGTATGACTTGCAAAAACAGTATTCTGAAAGACCTGTTACACCTTGTAAGACAATGCATATTGTAAACAGATTGTTTCCAAAAGCTACGCTCAAAAATCATCTAAAAATAGCTGAATCTGAAAGTAGGTAAGTGTAAATAATTTTATATATATATATATTATACATAAGTGTAAGTAGGTAAGTATAAATATATAGAATCTGCCAATCTTCTGACTGGGAATATTTTAGCAGTTCAGTGACATTTTCTCAAGTCAGGTAATTGACATTAAAACAGTGTTAAGTCTTCAGGATTGGTCCAATCTCTTGTTTTATTTTATTTTTCCTGTAAGATTTATTTCTGGAACCAGCAGAAATATCCAGTGTCGCCCGGGAACTATTTATGTCTGAATAAAAAGGAAAAATAAACACTTCAAATTATTTGTATAAATTATTAAATGACTAAGGGAAGTAACCATACATTACTACCAAAAGATAATTTACTTCCCTTTCTCTTATTTGTTTTTTATGTGAGAATAAATACTGAACTTTCTTGAGAAATGGCTACTTTGACTTTTCATAACCTTCAAGATTGACCTAGGTCAACTTTACATCACCTGTAACTCTCCCTAGTCTATCTGTATGCAGATTGGTTGAAATCCATTCAGTAGTTTCTGAGTCTATAGTAAACTAACAGGCATTTATTTGAATAGATGATTAATTACATGAGAGAAGTTGAATGTTTTTCATTCCACCACCTGATATAAAAATGGTATATGCATAAAAGAAGTTCTCTTTGATGGTAAGTAATAAACTTGATTTCATCTAGTCAGTTTAACATAAAAATGCTAGAGGTTTTTTTATGTAGATATTTATTAGATTAAAGAGTGCAAATATCAACTGTCATGAATCTGACTTTGCTGATGTTAGGATGCTAGCATTAGGAGTCAGGAGAAGTCTTGAATCTGACTTTGCTGATGCTAGGATGCGAGCATTAGGAGACAGGAGAAGTCATGAATCTGACTTTGCTGATGTTAGGATGCTAGCATTAGGAGTCAGGAGAAGTCATGAATCTGACTTTGCTGATGCTAGGATGCGAGCATTAGGAGTCAGGAGAAGTCATGAATCTGACTTTGCTGATGTTAGGATGCTAGCATTAGGAGTCAGGAGAAGTCTTGAATCTGACTTTGCTGATGCTAGGATGCGAGCATTAGGAGTCAGGAGAAGTCTTGAATCTGACTTTGCTGATGCTAGGATATGAGAATTAGGAGTCAGGAGAAGTCATGAATCTGACTTTGCTGATGCGAG